TTCTCCATTATATAGTGCATCTAAAACTACTTAAGCATTTTTAATATAATAGATATAGCTATAGATGGATATAACTTATACCATGAAAAATAATTTAATGAAAAGATCGACCCAAGATATACCTTTGCACATTTAAGTTTATTTGAACATTCATGGGGGATGCCACACACAGAAAACCACTTTTGGAAATGGTAGGTGCACATCTAAAGCTGTCCCTATATGGGCCATGAGAAATACCACTCCTTAGATGGCATTAATGCCACCTATGAATTAATTGTGCACTTGGACTATACAGTCAGCCTTCTGTATCAATGGATTCAAGCATCTGTGGCTTTAAAATATTTAAATATTTGTGTAAATTCCCAAAAGCAAGCCTTGACTTTGCCATTTGTATAAGGGATACCATTTTACTATGCCATTGTATTTAATGGGACTTGAGCATCCACTGATTTTGTTATCCATAGGGTGTCCTGGAACCAAACCCGAGTGGATACCAAGGGTCCACTGTATTTTAAACTCCACCAGCATCTACACTCCTAAAATAAGGACTATAGTAAAGATTACAGGAGCATCACCTCCAGCCAATATGGATGGTTTATATCCACAGATTAACTAAAGTGCTGTATAGTATTTTGATTCTGTTCTGGTAAAGGTCTGGAGAAATGCTGCAGACCTAGACTGGTGATTGATACTGTAGCTCAGTACCAGACAATGGTTTTTGCATGCAGATGATCTCCTGGCTTCCTGGCATTTCTGGGTAAGGCTGGGAAATATACTGTCAGAAACCTTCAAGCTTATGACAGCCTTCTGCAGCTTGGTTGCCTTTGAAATTGTTGGAATACAATTCCTGTTATTCTCATCTATTGGCCAAGCTGGCCAGGGATGATGACAGCTTTGGCATAAAACATCCAGACAGAACCAATGTGGGCAAGTAAGAGAAATGAAAGCAAGAATATCAGTTTCTGATTTTCTTGTTCTTAAGATTGTTGCTTGAGATCAACCCATCTTTCCCAAAGAGAACAGATATTTGTCCATAATCAATATATATATAGAAGGATTGTTCTCATTTTGTGGGGGGGGATGTCCAGCAATTCTAGAATTTGGGGGTGTCTTTCTTAACTTTTAAGGCTTCCCTTTCCCCTTGCACTGCTATGCAGGCAGGTTTACCAGTCTGACGTGAATGGGAATGGCATCTAGCAGGAGACCAGTTAGATCTCTGGCTTACTTCATATGTGGCTGTTAGAAAAGAAATGAAAGCACCGTTAATGCCCCCAAAACACTTTCCCCTAAATAATGAGAGAACAAACTACTAATAGTATCTACAAGTTTTTGTTGAGGGGGTGAAGGATTTACACAGAGATGAAGAACAATTGTGTTCCCATTTCTAAAAGGCATTTATGGTGGCATTTTCAGGAAGGATGTAGACATCACTGAAATGAATAGTTCAAACATAGAATTCACATGATGTGCTCTAGAGTGGCCAACCTTCAGAATAAATTATTTGTTTTTAAGGTTGAACATGTCACATGGCACTAACATCTAACCAGCAGCTAAAAAGTGTCTAAGAAATCAGAGGGGACGACAGAGAAAACAGAAGCTTAGAGACAAATGAAGAGGGAGGAAGAGACAGGCAAAGCATGTCAACAGCAAAGTTTGATTTTATCAAGTTTATTAAATTATGAAAGAGAAGCTGTCTACACGAAACTAGTCATGAAGAGCATGCCTTTGGCTTGCACACAATTACTGGTAATTATTTTGATAGCATTTTTTAAAGTGTATAGCTGTAGTGTTGTTTTTTTCATGTGACAGACCTATGAAATGTGGTGCAGAGAGTGACAGAACAGGTGGGAGTCCTTAATAAAAGTTATAATATTACATGAGTGTTATGAGGCAGGGGGAAATTGCAACATCATTGATCCCATCACACACAGTATCTAATACAAAAGGATGTGTGTGCTTGACATTAGAGCTTTTACTTTTTTGGATTACAGCTGCAAGACAATCCCCCCGCCCTTCAAGTTTGCAATTTTGGTTGGAAAGTTCTGTTGTCATTCAAGAAAGTAGCTTCCTCAAGGTCTGGTCAGCAACAGAAAACCCACAAATTTAAAATGTTGCACTCAGATTATCCAGACTCTTCGCCTAAAAGGTTGTTGTTGTGTGCCTTCAAGTCATTTCTGACTTAAGGTGACCATAAGGCAGATCTATCATATGGTTTTCTTGGCAAGTTTCTTCAGAGCAGATTTGCCATTACCATACTCTGAGTCTGAGGGCCTCTGCAGACCGGCCCAAAGGGCTGGCCTGGAGGCAGACATGGGGAGGGGCAGCCCAACAAAGTCCTGATGCCACATGCCGTTATGCATAGCTCGCAGCATCAGAACATCCTCCCGGTGTAGCGTCCTGACGCACTGCACCAGAAAGGTAGCTAAAGATCCGCGTGCTGGCTCTTAGGGTGCCCTTTTGCCGCCACTGAAAGGAGCGGCATTTTGCCACTCTTTTCAGGGCAGCAAAAGGGAGGATTGGGGTTGCGGCATGCGGTAGCCATGGTCCCGATCCTCCACTTCCCGGGGCAGCCTAGAGCCACCCTTCTGCAGCCCCCCTAAGAAACTGTGATTTGCCCAAGGTCACTCAGTGGGTTTTTATGCTTGAGCAAGAAATTGAACCCGGATCTCCAGAATCTAGTCCAACATTCAAACTGCTATGCCACACTGGGAATGTGCAACCTGTAAAAAATGTGCAAACTGAGTAGATTGGTTTTCCACTAGGGCGGTATACAAATAAAATATATTATTATTATTATTATTATTATTATTATTATTATTATTATTATTATTATTATTAGATTTCTTCCATTTATTTTATTTTAAATTATTTATTTCTCAGGTTTTGCTGTCTTTCATAACTGATTTTAATTTTGTGTGGGCTACTGAAACCACATTGGCAAGAATCATGAATCTTATAAACAGATAGGCAGACTAGTTTCAGAAATTTAATGTGAAATACTAGAATTTTCTCACCCATAAGGAGCAGAAGCTGCCTGTTTTTAAAATGAAATTTTCAGAAAGCTAGATTCTCCACACCACTTTGTCCTCTCATAGACTCTCATCACATGCAACCCTACAAGGATTATTTTTGTGAGAGTACTTTCCCCCACACTACAAAAGTAATAAACTTGTTCCAAAATGTGATACTTTTGGAAACATTACTTTGCAGAAAGCTGCTAGTGTCCAGATCTAGGCATGAACCACAGCTATGCGTCCATGGCAGGAGGCAAAGAATGCTGAGTGATATTACAAAGACATAGGCACTTGGTCAGTGGGGTCAGAAGGTGGGCTTATATTGTGATCATCATGTGGAGAAATGTGACAAAATGTTAATGGGATCTGAACACATATGTGCTCTCTGAACAAGACTGTTACAGGATTTTGTTTTGTTCTTAACCTCTCCCCCAGGACCCCATCTCCTATTAGCCAGAGACAGAACAGTAGCTTTTCCTCTGACATATGTCAAAATTCAGGTTGAACAGGAAAGCAGTGATGCGGCTTACCAACATATGTATCAGCAGAGGCATTATTCTAACCACATTTTATATCTGGAATCAACTGACAGTCACCACACAATAGGTAATGTACACCCCGCAGCAGGTGCTGAAGAGGCTTTTTTTAAAAAAATGCAATTGTCACTCATTCCTGTTAGTAGGTTGTGCCATATTGCTTTCCTTCAGAAACAATGCAGGTCTCTTCTTATCTGTGGAAATAAAAGAATATTGTTCTTCTTGTTGTGTGCCTTCAAGATGTTTCCACCTTATGGCAACCCTAAGACAAACCTATCACAAGATTTTCTTGGCATGATTTCTGGGGGGGGGGGGGGCTTTTGCCTTCCTTTGAGGCTGAGAGAGTATGGCTTGCTCAAGTGAGTTTCCATGGCTGAACAAGGATTCAAAACCTGTTCTCCTTAGTTATAGTCCAACACTCAAATCACTACATCAGACTTACCCCACTACCCTGCATACTAACACAGATAGATTGCTCTTGATCTTAAATATTTAGCTTTACCAAGTTATCCATTTATGCCTTAATGACAAATTATTGCCCATTGGGTTTACCAGTTGTTGTTACAATAACCATTATTACAGCCAATCAGACTAGCAAAACTGTATCCTGGCCTGTAACCAGTACAGGAGTGAATAAATGTTATAGCCCATATGACAAGGATGTTGTTTTTGTGTTTAGCCTCATTCCTAACTCCCACCAGCAATATTCATGAGCCAAATCTATTTCCACCAGGGAAAGTTTACTGGGACTTTAATATCCACCTTCTCACCAGTGGCAACACTAGAGTTGGCATCACCCAGTGAGGTAATTCATGGTGTCACTCCCACCATTGACCTCCTCCCATACTACCCCATACAGAATCCTTTGGAATGTTTTTTGTACTAATGTTGCTCATAAATCACAATTCTCATATATCACTGAATATGTAACAAAAACAACAACTATCATGTGCATAGCCTAAATGTATTTACATATGCATAGTTTCATGTGGTTAAAGTGAAAACTTGGTAAGATTTTTTTAAAGAAAGTATAAAAAATAATAATTTTAAAAATCAAAATTTAATTTTCTAAAAAAAATATGGAGCTTCTCATTTCTCCTTCCATCAAGCTGAGCCCCACTCACACCATCTCTTCAGCATTTTAAAGGTATGCAGATGTTTGGGAAGCAGGGATGTCACCCCATTTTAGGGTATCACCTGGTGCAGTCTATATTCTCCACACACCTTTCGTGACATCCCTGCCTCTCACATATGCACACCAGCTCATATCTTGGCAGGGATGATAGGTCAGAGCCAGAGTTTGGAAAAATTAGGTTTTGAATTACAAGTCTCAGAATCCCTCAGTCACCTAGGCAATGGAAGATTCTGGAAACTGTCATCTGAAAAAGTAAGTTTTCAAAGCTCTGTGTATCACTTGTTTTTCATACTGTGGTTGTGACAGAATCAGAGAGCCAATGTGGCATAGTGGTTTGAGCATTGGATTATGAGCCTGGAGATCAGGGTTCAAGTCCCTGCTCAGCCATGGAAAACCACTGGGTGACTTTGGGCAAGTCTCACTCTCTCAGCATCAGGAAATGGCAATAGCAAACCTCCTCTGAAAAAAACTTGTCAAGACAACCCCATGATAGTTCCATCTTAGGGCTGCCATAACATGGAAATGATTTGAATGCACACAACAACAACATGTTGTGATGGCTAAAGACAAATTTCTAGTTCACCTTTTTTTTAAACCAATATGGGTTTTTTTCCTATCAAAACTTGTTTAATCGTTCATAAGAATGAAGAAGTAGATAAGTAAAACCATAATAACACTGAAGAGATGTCATAAATGATCCAGTAGCTAACCCTCTGAAGTATATGGTGAGTTGGTGGAATTTGTCTTCAAATACTGTAATTTTGGATAACAGTCTTCCCGTCACCCAAAATTTAAAACTATTCAGAAAAATCTGCAAGATAAAGAAAATCTTATGTGTGTATCTAACCTCCTAACCTGAAACTAGATCACATAGGGATAAGAAGGCATAAACCTTACCAGCCATAACCATCTCAAGCATTCAAAACACCAGGGATCATCAAGGCAGTACCTTGAGAAAGCAGCAATTGGAGCAGCCTTATGGAAGACCCAACTACTGGCTGGTAGTTCTCAAAGACCATGGGTACCAAAGTGGGCTTCCTCAGGAGCAGCCACACCACTGCCTCTTTAAGGGCAGCAGGTACCATTCTCATGCAAAGAGGCATTTGCCACAACATGATCCACTCAACCATCTCTCTTTGGTTAGCTTTAAACAAGTATAAGGCACAAGAGACCATGTGGCTGGATGCACCTACAACAAGCATTTTGTCCAAATCCTCAGGATGGAGCAACTTGAAGTAGGCTTAAGCAAGCAGGTTAAATGCAGCACTGGGCATCTCAAATGGCCCTACCACAATAATGGGTACCAAAGGAGGTAAGTAGGCCTCAATTCACATGGGTGAGTGTTAACAACCCCATAATCATTCTGAACAGCTCTAGGTGGAACCCTGGTGGTGCAGTGGTTACATGCTAGTACTGAGCCACAATATTGTAAGTTTGATCCTAGAGGAGGTCTCCAAGGTCCACTCAGCCTTCCATAGGTCAGTAAAATGAGTACCCAGCTTGTTGGGGGCAATTGGCTTACACATTGTAAACCGCTTAGGGAGTACTAGTTCACTGATAAGTGGTATAGAAATATACTTGCTATTGCTATATTGCTATGGATTGCAAATTGAGGACGCTCCTCTTTTTTTGCTGTGGAACTGCGATGGAAGCAGTAAAATAAGCTATTTCCCCCCTTATCCTCACTATAATTATATACTCTTAACCAGGGGTCGGCCACCTTTTTGGGGGTGGGGCTGGTCCCCCTGTCTCCCGATGTCCCCCAGGCCACGGTGGTGTGTGCGCACACACACGCGCACACATGCACTACCACGAGGGCTCCCTCAACCATGCCGGGCCTCCAAGAGGCCCAGCGCAGCCACGGGGGTCCCTCAGGAGGGCTCCCTCGACTGCTCAGGGCCTCAGAGAGGCCCGGCGCAGCCATGGGGGTCCTCTGGGGCACTGTTTTGGATTCCAAAATGGCACCCCGGAGGACCCCCATGGGCGCAAAAGGTGGCGGGAGTGGCGGTGGCAGGACCGGGCAGGGGCCAGTCCAAAGGCCTCCACGGGCCGCACCCAGCCCACAGGCCTTAGGTTGCCAACCCCTGCTCTTAACACATGCTTTTTAAAGACCTTTTTCAAAGTATTTTTTATTACATTCACCACTTAAAATCTCTCATATTTTACTGAACACAATGTGTCCCCCTCCCCTTTCATTGAAAGCTATTTTTGGAGGCTTGTCATCAGGCTAAAATATGGGATAGGCAGAATAGAAATATTCTATATCAAGACATTTGTGCAGCAAGTGTGTTTGCTGAAGCAAAGGATAAACAACAGGCATCCATCCTCAAACACCCATGGCGAGATTCTCAGATGTGCATTCATAGGTATTCACAGATGCACACATCACATTCAAACTTAACATTTTGCTAGGAGAAACAGAAGTATAATAGCAGCATATTATAGCAGAAGTATAATAGCAGAAATGATACCATTTCTTCAGTGCATCTCTTTAAATGCCTTAGAAACAAAACTTACTGACAAGTAATCCTTATGTACAGTTGAAGTGGCAGTAAGAAGAAATGGACATGGTTCCTGTAGCTCTAGTAACTGGGTATAAGAGGAAATTTCAAGGTACAGCTTGCCATGCAGAAATACCCTCTTCAAATGGGGGTAGGCCTTTACAGACTGCTAGAAATAGTGCAAATTGAGTCCACTTTAAC